GATTTGAGTCTGGAACGTATTGTTAGAAAGGATTGTATGTTATATGTCGTGGTAGGGATTTGAGTCTGGAACTTATTGTTAGAGAGGATTGTGTGCTATATGTTGTGGTAGGGATTTGAGTCTGGAACGTATTGTTAGAGAGGATTGTGTGCTATATGTCGTGGTAGGGATTTGAATCTGAAACTTATTGTTAGAGAGGATTGTGTGCTATATGTCGTGGTAGGGATCTGTATAACAAGCTCTGTATTCTGTTATATGGACAACCTGTTTGTTTATAAATAACGTTCTGAGAGAAGACAAAATTAAACCTTTGTGAACATCAGGCCTTGTGTAATAAAAATAGTTAATTTAACCCTTTGTCTGCAAAAAAAACGTTAATACTTCAGTAAGGATTGGTTTGGTTTGTTTGAATTTCGCGCAAAGCTACACGAGGACTATCTGCGCTAGCCGTCCCTAATTTAGCAGTGAAAGACTAGAGGGAAGGGAACTAGTTATCACCACCCACCGCCAACTCTTGGGCTATTTCAGTAAGGAATCACATTATACTAATATAATAATAAGTTGATAAATAATGATCTATAAGCATAATGAAGTGATTTTTATTTAGGGGGTAACATACTACATGTGTCGAAACATGTAACATCCCCCCCCAGAACATATAACTTCATTATACTTACAAATCGTTGTGAATTTATTATTGAAAACGTTAATGTCACTAGGAAAGTGTAAATGACTTGTTTTTTTTCCTCGAGTAACACAAAATTACAAATACAACAATACAAAATCCGAAGCTTAACATTAAAGAAAAATCTAGCTAGTTTTTTGAACAAACTATCCGTTCCTCTGTTTGTCTATTTGTACACAATGTCTTTATAGGCGTTTATATATATATCTTCTACAACTCAGTAATTTTTCTACAAGTTATTTAGGATGTTAACTCCACGTTCGGTGACTCAGTTCACAAAGAATTAATATTTGTCTTTATCCTCGTTGTTACTAAGCCTAACTTTCTGCAGTGTTTACAAAGACCGTACAGAACTGGAGCCTAGCAACCATATTTGACGTAAAGACTTGACAGTGAGGATTTTTTAAAATTCAGAATTGATAGTCCGGTTTCTTAAAAACAAGTAGGTTATGTGATACCTAGAACACGTGACAGTATTAGTTGAGATAATTACCACTCGTACTTGTGAGCAGTATCTACATCGGCCATAAAACTCCAGAACTCTTGGATGTTGATCGAGCAGGAAATCATTTACGTGAGATTGAAGCTTTTCTTGTTAAATCTCAGATCTAAGATAGTCTTATTAGGTAAGCATTATTTATATTCTTGGTCCAGTAAAAAAGATTTCAAAAATCTTCTTTATTACTAACAACCATTTTATTTCAAAATATATTTTAAGTTGTTATAAGGGTGTCAGTCGCCATCTTGCAAATATTTTCTGAACTTTTTCCCTAACTTTCTTATATTTTCTGTCTGGATAGTCTGTTATTAAACTATTCCCAAAAGATGAAAGAAAATATTAACCAGGGAGTTATAAAAGATCGTTTTAACACCTTTCAAAACCAGGTGTTAACATACAGTATAGTGATATCAGTATAACATTATGTGTTAATACGATGTACAAGTTAATATTATAGTCATAGTAGTATAACATTATACTACGTTTTACCAAATTAATTTTCTGTTAGAGTTAAAACCAGT